AGGCTTCTCTTAAAAACGGGAGGAGCTCTAAGGAAGTATGAGTGTCTGACCAAAACCATTTCTTAAATGCAGACTTAATCTCTGGCAATCTGAAGTATTTGTTGAAATTTAGAGTTGGACTTGGCCATGTCTGCCAATTATGTTGGCCTCTGTTGAGGGTTCTCTGCTGCTCTTTCCTCACCTTCCTCCACTTTGAGACCTTTAACTATGTTTCTTGCCTTGCTGTTTCTGAATTTGCAGCTTACAACTTTACATGTTCTGGAAATTATTTTGGTTTTGTGTTTGTTTTTTGTGTTTTTTTTTAAGCTACCTGTCTAAAGTCTAATTCCTTTCTGTAAGAATTTACATTTCTCATTGATATTACTTCCCATGTGGTGGATAAGATTCAGGCCTCTGATAAGAGATGTGCTATTAACGTGTTCCTCTGTGAGGTTTTTTCTTTTTTTGTGTGTGATTCTACTATTTTTTGTGGATTATTAGTTAGGAGGAAACTAGGATATACAGTATACTCAGATTTATTCAGTGAGGAAGGGACTTGAGACTACCCAAGTACTTGTGCGAGGAGGTAGATAGTGAATCTCGTCTACTTGAAACACAGCTGCTCAATATCAATGTAAGTATGAGGGTAATAAATCTGAAATCTAATGTTAGAAAATTAGGTACTGTACAGGACTGGAGGAGAGTCAGTCTTTAGAACTATTGAGGTTTGAGAGTTATTAACCAAGACAAATTTTCACCTGTGTCAGTTGATCACGTCTGCCATCTGACTACGGACTCTATGTGTGTGTGTATATAGGCAAGATTGCTTGTTGGACTTTTGGGTTACTGATGGCACACAATTATTTCATGAAAATGTAAAAGTGTCGGTTTGCAAAATGCAGAAAGTTAGCACTATGTGTCTGGTGTTTATTTAACAACTGACTTTAAGTGACCTGCTGTCAGTAGCTTTAATGGTAGGCTTGATTGAAGAAACCTGGCAAGAAAAATAAGGAAAGGTAAGAACATTCTCATTTGATTGCACAGCTTTAAATAATGTCACCTGTGTACACAGAAGGGTCTAAAAAAATCTTTGTGCAGAGATCCAGCTTGTAACAGACTGGTTGTTTCTAGTGGAGATTTTCATTGATAAAATACTGTGAACTTCCGTGTGTTTTTAAAAGATGAACTTTTTTAGAAAATTAAAGGTGCCTTTTACTACTGAACTGAGATACCAGTTTTCTAATACTGAAAGAGTGCAACTGCATGCATTTCTTCCACCTGAAAAAGTGCCTTATTTAGAAGCTCCTTTGCCTAAATGCCTAATGTTTAGTATCAGGCGTATCTAATAATATTTTTGGAGTACTGTTGTAACTGATTTTGCAAGGGCTTAGAATATAATGAGAAGTGGATTAGAAGCAAGCCTGCTGCAGTGATTTAAAAATAAATAAATAGAATAGTATAATGTTGAAATTCTAGCAAGGTGTAGGAATGGATATAAACTTAAAATAAAGAGAAACACAAACTGTAGTCATCTTAGTCATCTATTGTTACAAGGTTATTGCTCAAATTCATGCAAGAGGACTTTTCAGATTGTCTTAGAAGTTGCCTTTTATAGAAGTTCTTTCTTGAAGATGAACTTTGTGTTCCTCTGAAAGCTTTTCTTTTCAAAAATGTAGAACTGCTTGCCTGAAACTTTATCCCTTGCTTCTACTAATTGGGAATCTCTCATTTCCCTTTCCCTTTAAATCTTTTTCCTAACAAACTGTAAATAGTTGAAAGCTCTGTCTTCTTTTCATCTTTCAGATAAAATTTATCTTTCAAATTTTGCCATTTATATTAAGAAAAAGTACTGTGACAGTTAAATTTTGTATGAATATTCCACAGCGTACTTGTTGCTTGCCTTTTTTTTTCCCCTTTAAGAAGATTTGGCAATTTACTGTGATGTTACAACCTTCAGAATTCTTCTAAAAAAAAAAGTGATTACCTAGTCAGGTGTGTAAGTCTTTTAGCAAAACAAGTGTTGTTATGCTGAAATGAATTTCTGCAGAGGTCTTGCTGAAGCCAGCGTGATATGAACATGTGCTTAGATATTTTGCAGATTGCAGTTGTGATAACTTATTTTGGGCAATCAGTATTCTAAATACCTACTGGAAGATCAAAACCAATGTTAGTGTATGTCTTTAATGAATGGTTACAATATTTTTTTCTCTCATCTGGCAACAGGTTGTCTTGGCTCGAGAACTGGCAAGTTCTAGAGAATATGCCAGTAAGTATTGACTTCTTCAGCATGAACTTTTTAAAAAATACAGTATCAATGTAGTCCTGTCACAAAACACCTGTTCAAAAGACAGAATTAGTAGTTTTATGATGATTTTTATCTAACAAAAAAACCAACCCCCAAAAAATTACTTAGATGGACTTCATTTGGTTGTACCTCCTGCGTTTTCACTCTCTTTTTTTTCATTAAGTTAAAATTCTAGAAAAACGTCATATCATAAAAGAAAACAAGGTGCCATATGTGACACGAGAGAGAGATGTAATGTCCCGCCTGGATCACCCTTTTTTTGTGAAACTCTACTTCACCTTTCAGGATGATGAAAAGCTATGTATCCTTTGTGTTTTAAAACTTGCTGTAACACTTCTAAAAGTAACAATCCTCAGTTTTGGTTCCTTTGAAACCTGTGTAACAGGAATGATGAAAATAACTCGATGTTTGTGATGCAATTTTTGCCATCATAGTTTTAATAGAAATTAAGCAAATTGAATGACTGTGCCCCTCAAAGAGAAGAGTGAGTGACTTGAGGGACGGGGGAGATGAATAAAGCAATAACTTACATTGTCCATGTGGTAATTGCTGAAGGGTCACTTGCAACAATCTTAAGTTTAAAATAATAATTAAAAAAAAAAAAGTGGAGGCTGTATGAGAAATGTTTTAGAAATGTTTTATTTCTGATATATACAGTAGAACACCACAATTCTGATGTTTAAAATAGGGGTAGTCAGCTATATTTACTGCTATTTCATATTTGAACAATTAGATCTATTAATTTATCTTACATAAAAGTGTTTACAGAATAACCTTAGTGATAGAAAGCTGAAACTTCTGTTTGGGGCACTGTTTCCCAAGTTGTCTTTCTGACAGTAATTGCGAAGTGGTTTCATCGTGAAAGCTCATTGCTTTGCAGTGGGCTTTTCCTTCCTTCCCCCCACAATGAAGAAAAGGTTAATCACGTGAATTTCCTCCTAAACTTCCTGCTTTGAATTGGCTGTGCCGAGGGTAAAGGGATGGGTCAGTAAGTAGCTGTGTTTTTCAGGGGCTGCTAGCAGTCCTAACAGGCCCTATATCATGCCTGTGTACACACGTGCACGCATACGCACGTGCACTAACAGAACTTACAGGCACTCTCTTGTAATATAAATATTTGCCCATTGAACACTGGGCTGACTTTGGAACTTTCCAGATGATGGGGCAATTTTAAACTCAGGTTGAATGCTAGTTATGACTGTAAATAGTTCTCTTTGAGGGCAGTTATGTATAGAGTTTAAATTAATTATTCAGGTGACTCATGGGAAAAAACTACGAATTTAACCCTTTATGTAGTCTTAGTTATGCTAAGAAATTGGGACCTGTTTCCTCGGTTGTTAATATATTTAAGAAATTGTTTTGGGTTGCTACCATGTAAATTTTCAAATTAGCCAACTTCACTTTGTCCCTGTTGTTCATATATTTTTAGTATTGTTCTTTTCTTTGGAATGAGGTGTGGGGATTTTTTGGTTCAGAATCATTTAGTGATAGACCTTAACTATATATTTACATTCAGATTTTGGGCTTAGCTATGCCAAAAATGGAGAGCTGCTAAAGTATATACGCAAAATTGGCTCCTTTGATGAGACCTGTACCAGGTTTTACACTGCTGAAATTGTATCAGCCCTGGAGTATTTGCATGGGAAAGGAATAATTCACAGGTAATACAAAGCTGAGACAAACATGCATTTGATTATGCACAAGGTGTTTTTTGTAGAAGTGTTCTTTGTGAAGTCTGAAGCAAACATGGATTTTGTGGAAAGCTAATGAGAGCATAATAGCATTTCATTAGCATTAGTACTGTTGTTAACATAGGGAGCTAAACAAAGAGAACTTTAGGAGGAGAACCAGTCTCTGTTGATAGACCCACTGTTCTAGCGGGTGAAAAAGTAAGAAAACTTTTTGGCCTAGAATTAACATTACCAAAAGCTTGTCTTTTTCAAGCTTTATGAGTTGGTCTGAAAACAGAAACTGACTTCTTAACTAACTTTTTTTTTTTCTAAAGTGTTATATGCCAAAAGTAAGTAGAATTATGCTAGTGTGTGAATTAGTGTGCGGCATGTCATCAAGAAAAATAAAATTAATGTATGTCATTCTTCACTGAGTGAACAATTTCCACAAAGCTGAACAATAACTGGTGAAATTTAGCAGTTTTTATAGGACCTTCGTAGTTTTCTTAATGTAATTATATTGTCTGGATAAGCATGTGTTGTCATTCATGTTTATTAAACAAATTAAAACTGTAAGAAATCTGAGCTGCAGAATTTCTTTTTGGGTAAAAAAAAAAAAAAAAAATCTATTGTGTCTGTAGGTTCCCAAGCAGTTGTTCATGGAACAGTAGATGCTAGTTGGGGAAAAAGCTGACTGATTATAATTCTGATGGTATTATTACTACTTTCAGTTATGTTTAGAAGGACAAAGTATTTTCCTAATACTTGTCCACAAAATAATTGGGAATAGCATCTAAGGGGGCTGGATGTGGAGAGTACTAGAGCATAAAATTTTCTACAGGGCGGGGAAAAGAAGTTCAAGAACTCCCAGTTTCACTTTGATAGTATAGCCCATGTGTTAGACTGGGAGAACGCTTATAAAATGAATATAGCATAATTGCCAGTATTACTGAGCCTACATTGAAAATCTTGTATTGTAAAAGAGCTGCTTTATAGTTGTCTTCATATGAAGGCCACTATGAGAAGCTCAACGTAAAACAGTAAAATTGTGCAACAGAGATCTTTATACAAAGTTTATAATATAAGTCCATAGCTCTAGCAGTGCCTGAAAGCTCTTGGGATTTTCTGCTACCTAAAGAAATACAACGTGAGGTGGAACCACTTTAAGATGCCAGGCTACTCTGGAAAAATTACTACAGATCTCTGAATGTATCTAGATAGATAGTTATATCCGAGATCCATAATATAATCTTAATATCACATATCCATATTATATATTATATAAACTGTGTGCATATGTGTGTGTAGAATACATTATATATACATACATGTATATATATAAAAAAACTCCACACAGAACTGTTAAAAAGGTCCATTCCGTTCATTGACTTTCTACTTGTCTCTCAGAATACAGGAAAACGAACAGGACTTTTGTCACTTCTGTGTTGCAATTACTACATTCCAGTTGCTCTCTGTGCTAGTCCTCACGCTTTAAACTGTACAGCTGCACAACCCATGCTTTTCAATAATAGGGGGCTGTAATCTGAGGAAAATAATGCTGCACAGTGGTTGATGGAAACAGCTTTGAATTTGCACTGACTTTTCTTAAGCAGTCAACCAAAACAACTCCCATGCTTCTAGATTTTTTTTTTTTGTGAGCATCCAGAGATACTTCTTAGGAGGGAAATAGGTAATTTTTTTTGTGTCAACTGGGGAAACTTGGTGCAAAGTAAATAATATAACAGTGTAACCTGATGCTATTTTTTTTCTGTTGTTGCTAACAAACCTCTTGATATCTAACTCTATATTGCTATATATTTGTGTATGAGACTGAGGTCTGGTTTTATTCAGAATTGGAGGTAGTCCATACAAATGACATGCATACGTTGGAAATACAGATTATATATGGGTTTGTATGTGGCAAATGTAAACAGGCCATTCTTAAAGAATGGAGGTGGTTTACAGTTCTTATCTGTTCTGAACATTTAGCTGGGGGCAGGATTGCCATTGTTTGACTAACTGGAGTTTTGCACTCAGTAAATAGGCCTAGAAGATCTTACTGCCACATCAGTTTGTCTTGGAAGCGGTTTGTTGGGTCTTTTAATTTTTGTTGAACAAGTGAGATGCACAATAGCTTAGTTTTGAGGTTATTCATTACTTCAGATCTTTTTGGAAAAAATGTTAATGGGCTTTTCAAAATCTGTTAGCAGTCTGCATGTTGACAGCTGCAAGTTAGAGGAAAGTTGACACAACAAGGTTTATAGAATGCCTGCATCACTTATGATTGCATTATGTACATAAGTCACAAGACGGTTTTGCAACTTTCTGTGGTGTTTAAATATAAAAATTTACCTTTTCCAGGGACCTTAAGCCAGAGAACATCTTGTTAAATGAAGATATGCACATTCAAATAACAGACTTTGGAACAGCAAAAGTATTATCTGCAGATAGCAGACAAGGTATATGCCATTATTTTCTTTATCATGTGACACAGATAACTATAGCAAGTGGTCCTTTGAAAATGTATGTATGTTGCATTTATTAAATTGTAACTGTCAAATATCATTACCTCTTATCTAACAAAATCACTGAGAGATCTTGAAACGGTTTTGACTGTCACTGCTTAGATTATGTCAGAAGAGGTACTATTTGGTGTAGTGGTATAGCCAGCTAGATTGCCAAATAGAGTGGGAAGTTAAACTACTTCAAATTACTCTTCATTTGCAAGACAAGAATATGAACATACAGTTACTATGTCTCAGCTGGAGCAGTAAGTTTTCACTGTCCTTATGTATTTAATCCCAGCAACTATCAGAGTTGCTCAAATGTGAAGGTTACAGAATTCTTGTGTGACTAGTTGCTTAGTATTAACCTGTGAATTATTGATGCTGCAAACAATGCCTGAAAAAAGCAGTAGGCTGAACTGAATTTGGTAAACTTTTTTTTTTTTTTACTTGAATGTAGTAAGCTTGTGTTGGTAGATTTTATACCTAACTGAAGTGCCTAAATGCCTAGCATCTTAAACCAAATGAGTATCACTGAGATAAGTTGATTTGTCTCTTCCAAGCAGGTTTTGTGGATGGCTAGAGAAATGAAGTTCCCATGAGTTCTTTGTAGCATTACACAACTTGCAATAATAGATTACCTTTTGGTTTTTTTTTTAACTGGGTTGGGGCAGGGGGAAAAGGGGGAGGTTGACTGCTCCATAAGTATGTATTTGCTTATTTCTTTCAATTTTCTTGCCAGCACGGGCAAACTCATTTGTAGGGACAGCGCAGTATGTTTCTCCAGAACTGCTGACAGAGAAATCTGCCTGTAAAAGGTGAGGACTCTATTGTATTTCACAACTTTACTGATTCTGTCAGGATACTGTCAAATGGAAGAGAGGGGAGGGCATAAATCAACCAAGCAAGCTTAGTATTTCAGAGAAACAAGATGCTTGAGTAAAAAGGTTGTTTTTTTTTTTTAAGAGAGTTTAAATACACTTTTTCTCAACAAGTATTGCTTCTTGTTTGAGTGCTGGTTTCCTCAGTTCATCTACCTTCTGGAGTTCTACAGACAGGTTTAGGTGGTGTCAGGAGAAGGAGGTGTGTAATGTGAAGTTGGATTCCTCTTACCCATAAATAAATCAGCAAAAATGTTTCTGTTATCCAAATAATGTAATTATTTTAATTCTGTTTTATATAACCTTGCTCTAAGCTTGCTCTAATATGGTAATTCCTGAAAAAAAAAAGCAACAGAATATCACATTCTGTCAGTTAGGGGAAAGGCTAGAGTTTTTCTTTGACTTCGATTTGGATCAACTTGCAGTTATCTTTGTTAAGTTGTGCTTGGAGTTTGCAATGGTTTTAGGCTCATCTCTGTACCTGGTATGAGCGATATCCTTAAGAAATTTCTTATCTCATTTAAATTGATCCTTGATGGTAACCTACAGAGTGTTCTGTTTGTGTTTTATTACAGTGATGGAAGAATAGTCAAAGCAATCACTGACAAATCATAGGGAAAAGAGATGTTTTATATGAAACTGTGGTAATTACCACTAGCATTTCTTGAAGTGATAGAAATACCATTAGACTTTCCACTTTTGCCTCTAGTAAAGAGGTTTTGACTGGTTTGGCTAATGGAAAGACTTCATGAGGCTATTGCCTCCTTTTAGGAGTTACATAATGCTTCATCTTTACAGAAAACTCTGAGTATTTTTGAGTCTTTGTTAGTATTTTAGTCTTCCGTGAGGAAGACTTCTAAACTTTAATCAAATCTATGTATAGTTTTTCTTGAGGTAAAATGAGTTAAAAATACTCTTTCAGGCCAACATGCTAAAACTTAATTTTCCCTCAACCGTATACCATGTAGCCTGCCTTTTTGTCTGTGTCTTAAGGAAAGCTTTAAGTGAAAAAGCTGTGATGTGACTCTTTTCTTTTTTTTTTTTAAATAAAATATTTAGAGGAAAGGATTTTAATTCTGAAGGAACATATGTTGCATTAAGTTGGATGCATCTTTGACTTGTGGTAGTGCATAATAAGTATTCGTTTTAGGCTCATTACATACCTGCTAATTATTTTGACTGAGAATTCAGCTGTCTTGCACATGTGCTTGTAGTCAGTTGTTGGAAAGCTGTGTTGCTAGCCTACTCTTCTATCAAGGAAAGAAGTGAAAGTGGTGTGGAAATTGTGCTAGGCAGGTTTGTCCGATTTGTTCATGCTGTGTTCTAACCAGCAGACGCTTAAGATTTGGGGTTTTTTTTTTTAATTACAGTTTAAATACTTCTTATATGAAAACATACTATATGTTTTTTCCTCTTTCTTTTGAAGCTCTGACCTCTGGGCTCTGGGATGTATAATATATCAGCTTGTAGCTGGATTGCCTCCATTTAGAGCTGGGTAAGATTTAAAATGATTCTTTACACATGGATCATAAATATACCGACTTGGTTTTGGCTTTTACTTTACTGCCAGTTCTGAAGTACAACTTTTCATGGTGCAATGTTGGTGTTAATGTCATGCCTGCCTTGTTTGTCCTTTCTGATGTCATGAAGATGCTTAGATAGCTATAACTAGAGTTCCTGAGAGAGATTCCTTAATTTGTCCTAGGATTTGACATGTAATTTAGACCATAAAGGTAACTATGCCTACATGGAGAGGGTATGAGGCGCCTCTGTATTGAGCCATTTGAACTTTTCTTGTTATTATTCAAGTATCTGGTGCTTACAGGATCATAGATACTGGGAAGATTGTACCCCTTTACCCTAGGAAGGTTTATGGGAATGTGACTTAACTTGTAGATCTCCCGTTTAATAATTGTCCAGGTTATGCACTGTTAAGGTGAAAGAACCATGCAGAACTAATAACAAGAGCTAATATTTTTCTGTTTTGCAGAAATGAGTATCTTATATTCCAGAAGATCATAAAGTTGGAATATGACTTTCCAGAAAAATTTTTTCCCAAAGCAAAAGACCTTGTTGAAAAACTATTGGTAAATATTTGCTGCTGTTAAATGATTTGATGATATTGGAAACATTCAGCTTATGTAGTTCTTTAGGAAAAAAGTTTCTATGCACTCTGTTGCAAACCTTATAATAAGAATGATTGTAAGCATTATTGACTGCATAGGGGAGTGCCTTGAAAATCAACATCCGTTATTAAACAGCACTTAGACTATGATTTTTTTAAAATCTGAATTCTAAAGCATGGACAAAGAATATCTCTCAGTGAAATGGAAGCAAATGGTTCTAAATACTGTGCATTACAGACAGAAGTTACACATAGAAGTTAAGATTCAAATGCTTGGATTTATATATTACTCATTAATTCTTGTTGAGTTGTATAACGAATCGTTTAGTTGAAAACAGTGTTCCGTACATCACGGGGAGATATAGTAATTACAATGTAAATCAACTTGCCTTACATTTTAGCATGCACTTAACTTGCTCTTAATGCATGTTTCAGTAGTATCAGCCAAAGAATTACTCTGCATGTTCATGTTTGACAGCTAGAAAGAAAAAATAGTTCTGTCTCGTCAGCGAGATATAGCCATGACACTAAAACAAATATGCAGAGAACATTTTGGGTGGTATAAGCTTTCTGTAATCTCACCTACTAGCATGGGGCAGCAGGTGAGGAGGAAATTCTGAGTCTTACGTTTCTGGATGCTGATGAGTGCAACCGTTGTAAAGGGCCTAGCACCATGTTCCTGTTTCCAGGCGAGATCTGTGGCCAGTCCCCTGCCTGCTGAATGGTAAGGTCCAGGTTGCATCAACATCCTGAGAACAGTGTGATTTTAGGGTGCTTGAGAGGTTGATGTTTGACACCAACTATAGCTTCTGCAGCTTCTTGCATCACTAGAACGTGATGCTGGGCTATACTTAAATGAGCTACGTTCCATCAGGCCTTCTCTGTATGTTTACTTGGTTTTGTTTCTGTCTTTATGGAGAAACAAAGCCAAAAAACTGTGTGGACCCAAAGTGCTCCTTTCTCTACATCTGTGTGCTGGTCTAATACAAAATGTTGCTGACAAGCCATACTGACAAATAACATCTTGTATTATAAGCAGTCTCTTTATATTCTAGATATGTATGCTTAGGGCAGTGAGACCAACTGGTTTTTAAGTTTTCGCATGCTGCTGTGCAAATGTGAATGTACTCACCCCTTCCTTGTCATTATTTTTATGTATGTTAACTTAATTTTAATTTGCTCAGGTTCTAGATGCTACCAACAGATTAGGTTGTGAAGAAATGGGAGGATATGGACCTCTTAAGGCTCACCCCTTCTTCGAGTCCATTGTGTGGGAGAATCTACATCTTCAGACACCCCCAAAACTTACAGCATATTTACCTGCTATGTCAGAGGATGATGAAGACTGTTACGGGAATGTATGTTTCTCTATTGCTGTATTCAGCTCTGCTGCCTGAGGCTTTCATTAAAGCACAGTTATTGCATATTAAATATTTTATTGAAACTACTGATCAGTTATATTTCAATGAAGACTCAATTATTAAGAATCTAATATAAAATTGAGCTACTCAGCTTTTTTTTTCTGTCAAAGTGAATGTTTGGGGAAAGTACTGTTCGTCTTGATTTTGGCCAAGTATACCTTTTCGGATAAGTGGCTGTTAATCTATACTGTAGAAAGTAGGCTGTCTTTTTGCCCAAAAGCATAAACAAAAGCACGCTTAAAAGCACGCTTAGATTAAAAGCCACGTGCTTCTAATTAGTTTTGTGCAAAATAAGCTTTTTAATCAAAGGAATTTCTGTGCTTCATTTTGTTTCCTCCTTTAGTATGACAATCTCCTGAGTCAGTTTGGTTGCATGCAAGTTTCTAGTTCTGCCTCTTCCCATTCACTGTCTGCTCCGGAGACAAGTACGCCACAGACTTCAGGAGGAAATATTGAACAATATATTCATGATCTTGACAACAATTCCTTTGAGCTGGACTTACAGTTTTCTGAAGATGAAAAGAGGTTACTTCTGGCAAAACAAGCTGGTGGAAATCCTTGGTAAGATCAAGATCTTTGAATATAGCTCCTCTGTTACTTGCATAGCAGTAAGGAATCCAGAAAAATAAGTTATTTTGATTCAAATTAATATTTGTCAATCTTATATCTTCAAGCAAACAGCAATGAGATTTTTCTTGACGTCTAAGCAATAGCAGCAAAAAGTAATACTATGTCTCTAGAATTTACAAGGTCTAAAAGATGTTGTGGAGTATGTTTTATAAATAGGCAGAAATGATGTTATACCTGTGCTGAGAAGTCTTCCCTCTACAGAGTCCTGGAACTAGAAAAGGTTCCTTCTTTCTTACAGTTGCCATAAGTCGGGGTTTTTTAACTATAATATTCTGTTGATATCCAACCAAAATACCTCCAGACCATGTACTTACCAGTGTTTCTCCTCACTTTTGAGAGCAGTTTCTTATTTGTGATTCCCCCTCCGCCGCCTCCCTGTCAGATTTTAGAAAAAAAACTCTTTGACTTGGAATAAGGAAGAGTCCAAAACTCATCTAGTAAAGTAGTCTCCTTTTGGTGGAAAAGGAGGCACTAGGGAGAGACATGGAAAATTGCTTAATAATAATAATAAAAGCTTTTTCTGGGGAAGAATTACTTCTGGAGTAACAGTTTTTCTTTTTTTTTTTTTTTTTTAAGGCATCAGTTTGTAGAAAATAACTTAATCCTGAAAATGGGTCCAGTGGACAAAAGAAAGGTAAGGGCTTTTCTTAATTCCCTATAACAAGATTCAGCTGTCACACTTTTGCACAGTTGCACATGGATAAGGAGCCTGTTTTAGAGCTTCCTTGTTTAACTTATTTGTGTCAAATTTTTTTTTAAATGTACTCTCTTCTTGTGAATACATTATTTTTTCTTAATTCTTAATGGTGTCCTCTTGATTTTTCGAAAGGCTAAAAGTAAATGTGCTATTGATGCTTTCATTTCAAGACCGTAGTAAACAAGTTCTTGTTCCCCTTCCTCCTCCCAATCTGATACAGCCCACTGAACACTGTCTTGATGCATTTCTGCATGTGGATTGAGCCACAAATATCGGAAAATAAAATATGAGCCCATATTATCCTTAACTGTGGTGTTTTTCCTGGATCCAACTAGTGCCTGTATCCTGAGAGGTAGAGGTGACACTACAACAGCTTTAAGTATTAACTTTAACATGGTACGGCTGAGCGACCATAGTCTCTGTCAGCTTTACAGGAATGTTGGTTCTCTTTCACCTGAGTTACTACCTGCTTGTTCCTAATTTTGTCCACAAAATCATGAGTATTGAGTTCTGTGCTGGAATCTTTGACAAATAGATTTTGCTTCGCTCTGTCCAGCTAGTTGTTTTATGTTTTGTTAGAACTTGAAGATGCTTTCTTAAAATATTACTTGTGTTTTGCCATGCAGTGGGAAAGCACTGCAACCCCCTAAAAAAGGAGTGAGGTCAAATAGGTAAAGCAAAAGGAAAACAAAACAAAAGTCTCCCAAGCTCAAATGTACTATCCTATCACTGAGCTTTTTAAATTTTACTTCTGTTGTTAATGTAAATGTGTAGATTTCTGAATTTTTTTCCTAATTTTTTTTTGCATTGCTGCTTCTACTTTTCTTCTTAGGGATTGTTTGCACGTCGGCGCCAGTTGCTGCTCACAGAAGGGCCCCACCTGTATTACGTGGATCCTGTCAACAAAGTTCTAAAAGGAGAAATTCCATGGTCTTCAGAGTTGCGGCCAGAAGCAAAGAATTTTAAGACATTTTTTGTTCACACAGTAAGTGACTTTAACTTCTTTGTAAGTTGCACAAAGGTCCTTGGGCAGTTGTAAGCTGTTAACAGATTTTTCTGGATAAAATAGAATTCTTTAAATACAAGTGTTGTTAGCCTTAATTTTAAAAAACCCAAAAAAACCCAAAACAAACCAAAACCACCACCAAACCGGATACGTGCATTTCCTACAGAAATATGAGTGTATTTTTTATTATTCATGTGTAAATAAACTATAAGTGCACTTTGGTATTTGAAGGAAGTTCTTAAGCACTTTTAAAATTTAGCCCTCTGTATATAGTGGATCACAAGGAGTGTACCAACAGTATATTCAGTTGACTGTTTAACAGTATTGAGATGCCAGATGTATGGTTATTCAGTACTGTATAATGTTATATAACTGTAATTGGATTTAACTTTTAGAAAGTTTATTAACTGATTCTGAATAATTATTTTATTGGCAGAATAATTACTGCTTTTTGGTTAAACTGTGTTTGGAGTACTCATTAAAATGTTGTTCGCTTATAGCCAAACAGGACATATTACCTGATGGACCCGAGTGGGAATGCTCATAAATGGTGCAAAAAGATACATGAAGTTTGGCGGCACAGATACCACCAGAATGCTGCTAAATAGTCAAGCTCATCCAAAATTTCCCAGTTTCCCTACTTGCTGCTAGAACTCCGTGTGCAGCCGATCAGAGGAATCTTTTCAACCCACCTATTACCATCTCAAGGGGAAGCATATGTCTGAAATGTTCTGTTGTGGGTTTTTTTTTTTTAAGAAAGAAAAAAAGAAAAGCAAAAACCTAATGGAATTCAGGGTCGCTTTGCTCGCTCTTTGTGCTTCTGTTGAGGCTTCCACATGCATATCATTGCAGTGAAGATCTTGCTTTTGTGCACTTCAGCTCAATTTCTGCTGCAGACTAGTGGATAGACCTTGCATTACCAGCTTCACGTAAGATGAGTTAAAACCAATCCACACGCACACACGCTGAATCATGTACCAGCCTTGCATTTTATGGGGCTGGAGTTTTCTGTGACTTTCAGAGTATCATTAAACTGTTATTTCATCAGGGAGCTTTTATATGCCTCTCCTAAGCACCACCTCTTTTGTTTTTTCTTCCTTTCTGCACAGTCCGCCAGCTTATTGGTATATGGCATTTGTAGCCAGGTCAGTTGCACCCTTGTGTAATTCCTGATATAGTTCTGGTTGCAGGATTTATGTGGTACTTCAGTAATTATGTGAATGAATCAGATGTATGTGTCTGGCAGACAGGCTGCAATGATACAGATTTTGAGAGAGTAAAATGCTGAACATGGCACTGAAAGTTTTCTAAAACTGAAATGTTGGCTTCTGAAGCATGTAAGATTTTAAACATTCAATTTAAATTTTAATATGAATCATGTGTGTTTAATCAACGGACAATAAACTTACCAGCATGCTTTTAACTAATGCTAACTAAAAGTAACTAGTTAGTATGGGGGGTGGGAGGTTACTATTGAAGTAGTAAATAGTTTTTCACCTTTTCAGGAGATGAGGGCTAGAAGCTTTCTTTCCAGGGTGTGTATGTATTGTGCATTTTAGTGGGGCCAACCTATTTACCTGGGTAGAGAAGGAAGTATGAAAGCTTTGTACAATTGATTACTTGACTTTTTTTTGTCTCATGTATAATGAGATGTACCAATAATTCTATTTTTGGTCCTTGGCCAAGTATTTAGCAGCTCTGAAAAAAAAGTATGCAATAGAAATATTAGATCCATAAACTAAACTGGTTAAAAATTCAAAGGAAAATACTGATACAAAGGGAAAAAATATATGGTACTTAAGGCATATCTATAAAATGAAAATATTTTTCATATCTATCTACTTTATCCTCTTCAAGTTAAGGCTTTTTTGTGGTCAAACATTTCTTGTAACATTGCAAAGATGTAACTTTCTATGTGCTAAAAACAACTTCCCTAATGGTGTTTTCAAGATGCCCATGTTCCTAAACCTTGCAGAGAGAAGTGACCTAGGTCTGGACAAAGGCATTCCTTCCTTGTTTTAAAAGCAGTGTAAACATCACACCTATTTATTCACCTTCTACATGTACAATCTATTTGTGTTGTAAGGTCTTATACCGTGATGTGCTTTTGCTTCCACCAAAGAAAGAAATGTCCCACCACAATACAGAAAAACTCATGGGCATGAGTTCTAGAAGCAGTATTTTAAAAGCAGTGGCTAATCAGGATTTCTCAGAAAACTCATGCATGTTGGATATTTTGTTGTTGTACAGGGTGAAGCAGGTTTATTACTGATCTCTTAAAAACTGTTATACAGCTGAATTTGACAGTTCAGCTTTTGCAGTATCTTTCAGTCTTCAAAG